TTTGTTAGCATTTATACTTCACTGATGAATGACAACATGTATAAAGTCGAATCACGTCAATTCAGTGAAGTTCAAGTGAGAACGATAATGTTTGTAGAGCCAATTGAGTTGCTTGCGGTCTTTAAGTTGCTTTTGAGCGAAATTCAAGCTAATAAGCTTTTCAAATAATGAATTGTCTGTCGATAAGGAGTAAACTGTTTGTATTGTGAATTAATTGAAGAATTGAGGTTTTAACAGAATAATTAAAATTATGTGATTGTGATTACTTACTTAACTTAATTACGCCTGTTACTCCCAATGGAGCATAGGTTGCCAACCAGTATTATCCGACACACTCTGGTCTGCGCCTCTCTTTCCAGTCCTGTCCAATTTTTGTTCATTTTTCTTCTCATATCTTTCTCGATTAATCGGCGTGATGTGTTTCTTTGCCTTCCTCTTCTCAGGTTACTGTGAGGGTTCCATGTGAGGGCTCGTCTTGTAATGCAGTTGGGTGCTTTCCGTAGTGTGTGTCCCGTCCATTTTCAGCGCATCTTCCTCATTTTCTCCTCCGCTGGAATTTGTTGTGTTCTGTCCCATAGTAGTTTGTTGCTGATGGTGTCTGTCCAACAGATTCGAAGTATTTTGCGTGGACAACCGTTAATAAACATCAACATATTCTGGACCATGACTGTCTAAATTCTTCAAGTTTCCAACCCATACAGTAGAACTGTCTTGGGAGTTATATTGAAAATTCTGATTTTGATGTTGGTTGATATTTGTTTGAAGTTCCAGATGTTGATCAGTTGTAAAAATGCAACCCTCGCCTTGCCAGCCCGCTACTTTACATGTGCATCGGATTCACCTTGCTCGTGAATGATGTTGCGCAGTTGTGTAAAGGATTTTACGTCCTCCAAGACAACTCCATGAAGAGTGATTTGGTTGACAAATGTTGTGTTGTATCGGAGAATTTCGCTTTTTCCTTTTTTTATAATGTAAAGACATGGTGCAGCAGAGGCTGCTGCTACACTGGTTATCTTCTCTTGCATTTGTTGTTGCGTGTGCGATAAAAGAGCCAGATCATCTGCGAAGTCCGGATAGTCCAACTACATCCTGGCTGTTCATTATATACTGTGCTACTCTCCAGATGTTTATGTCTTGATAATCCACTCGATCACCAGAAGGAGAAAGAGAAAGGGTGAGAATAAGCAACCTTGCCTGACACCGGTCTCCACGTCAAACGAGTCTGTGAGCTGACCTCAGTGCAGGATTTTGCATTTTAGTTCATCATAAGAATTCCGTATGATGTTGACAATCTTCTCAGGCACGCCGTAGTATCGAAGAAGCCTCCACAGTGTTTTCCTGTCCACTATATCGAATGCTTTCTCGTATTCAATGAAGTTGATGTAGAATGGTGAGTTCCATTCAAATGATTGTTCCAAAATGATCCATAATGTTGCGATTTGGTCGGTACACGATCGATCCTGACGGAATCCGGCTTGTCGATCTCGAAGTTGGGCATCTACTGTTCGGTAACACTCTGATGATGACTTTGAATGGTACTGAGAGAAGAGTGATGCCATTGCAGTTCTCACAGTCGCCTAGATAGCCATTCTTTGTATTTTGATGAAGTATACTTCTTTCCAGTTTGTTTTTTAAAGAGGGTGTGGAATATTATTGCAGCTGCTTCCTCGTCTGCTTTCAGTGCCTCTGCTGGAATGTTGTCTGATCCTGCTGCTTTGCCGCTCTTGATTTGTCTGATGTCCATAATGATCTCCTCAGTTGTTGGTGGACCAACATTTATTTGGAGGTGTACGGATGCTGATTTGATTTTAGGTGGGTTCAGTGGAGCTGGTCGACTCAAGAGTTTCTTAAAGTACTCTACTCACCTATTCCTCTGTTTTCTAATATTGTTGATTATTTTGCTTTCCTTGTTTTTCACTGGTCTTTCTGGTTTTCAATAGTTTCCAGCTAGCCTCAATGTTGTATCGTACGATTGTCTTAAGTACCCTTCTCCTGCAGCCTTTTCCGCCGTCATTGGTAGATCATCCACATATTTTGTTCTGTCAGCTCTGATGCTCTTATTCACTTCTCTGTTTGCTTCTGTGTATTCAGCTTGTGCCTAAACTTTCTCTGCTCTTGTTCGGCTGACATTGATTGCTGCCCTCTTGTTCCTCCTTTCTTCAATTTTTGTTAGAGTATCAACAGAAATCCATTCCTTATAATCGTACTTCTTTTAGCCCAAAACCTCCTGACATATTGGTTCCTTTCCAATTGTTCTCCTAGGTTGTTTCCCTTCGATTGAGTAGATCGCGCAAGTCCTGGAACCTATTGTTGACGGCTATCTTTAATTCTTTGAGTTTGTCACTATCCCGAAGAAAGACCGTATGTTGTGAGAATATTGTTGAAGGTACATAGGTTTGCAAATCTCTCACCATTTTTGTTCCTTTCTCACAGTCCATGTCATCCAATGATATCTTCCTATCCAGTGTTGTCCATGACAGAAACCTTGGTATTTAGGTCTCCCATCAGAATCGTTGAATACTTTGATGAGCATCTGTCGGCAATTGACCCCAGCTTCTCGTAGAATTGATCTTTAACGTCGTCATTGTAGTCATTGCCAGGTACAGAGCATTGGATGACGTTCATCGCAATATCCTCTTTCTTTGCTTTGAAGGATGCTTTGATGATCCTGGGTCCATGAGATTCCTATGCCATCAGTGCCTTTTGTGCCTGTTTGGACAGCATCAGTGCAACTCCTTGTGTATGTGAAGCATTTCCTTCTTCAAGACCGGAGAACAACAATAACTCTCCTGAAGCTAGTCTCCATTGTCTAACTTGCGTCCAATGCGTTTCCAAGCACATTCTGTCTTTCTCAATGTTCGAACGTTCCATGTACCTGAAAGAATAGTTGCTGTGGTAGCGTGAAGTAGAATCAGACTCGTGACTTTCGAAGGAACTCAGCTTTCATCATGAGACGTCAAAACTTTTCTGAAAGAAGACCTTCTAACTGCCAAGACAGACTTAAAATAGCTTTTTGTAGCGAATTAGTTTTTTATGTGACTGGGTCACCAACCCCAATCCGAACCCTCTTCCTTTATCAGCGCTTCTGACCAGCAAAAGCCCCCAGAAAAGCTCGAAGTGGAGTTGATTAGGATTAGTAAATAATTACATTGTACATTTGGTAATATCATAAGAAAACTAGTGTTATCAATTATAGACAGGCTATAAAAGTAATTTGTTATTTATTTTCTGATTGATTATTTAACAATTCTTCAGAATAATCCCACTATTATTTCGTTCGCTTATTTGTCCCTTCAATACGGTTTGTTTACGCATTATTTATGCTTATTCTCATAACTATTGTTACTGAGCTCTATTACTGTTATGGATTTTCATGTAGCAGCAGTCTAAAGCGAAAGATTTTTAAAACTTGTATCAAATTGTTTAAAATAAGGCATTACAAGAAAATGTCATAAATCATTTGAACTGTTCATAAAGATTAAGAGAATAATTGAGAATAGGGAATAAAACTAATATTGATTGATTGACAATCTTCATGTACGTATGTCTGCGTTATTTTTCTATGCAAACTACCAAATCATGATGACCTTATTCAAAAATTTATCTTTAAAAGAAAAGAGGAAGTGTAGGATTAAAACGATTAAATTTTGATTGAAATGAAACAATGTTTCAATCAACACAATGTATTATTGGTGAACCAGGATTGTTAGCAAAAATAACTACAAACTTTACAGCCAGTCACATATATATATAAACCTATTTAAACAGTGCGTGTAATTCTTACAACTTAAAAGAGAATTTATTCCATTGAGGTAAGTTGTTGAAGGGTGTTGTACAATTTGAGAAATTCATGAATCTAAGAAAACTCCGCCAGTAGTCCCTTCGGGGCTACTGCCAGTCCCATGCCCGGATAAAGGAGGAGGGGTTGGACATAGGGTTGCCGCCCCCATCCCAACTAAAACTAACTTGCCAAAAACACTCTAACCAGAAAAAATAATTCAACCCATTTTAACTCTGTCCTGGGAGTTGGAAGAAGAATTATGACGAAGCGTGATGAAAGCCGAGTTCCCTCGGAAGTCACGGGGCCGATGCCTATTCTGACAACCAAAGCAACCATCTTTTTAGGTACATGGAACATTCGTACATTGTGGGAGATTGGAAGACTATTTCAAGTTGTGATAGAAATGGAAAGATACAACCTCGAGGTGCTCGGCATCAGTGAAACGCATTGGACACAGGTAGGATAACTGAGACTAGCTTCAGGGGAACTGCTATTATACTCTGGTTATGAAGAGGAAAATGCTTCACATACACAAGGAGTTGCACTGATGCTGTCCAAACATGCACAAAACGCACTGACAGGATGGGAATATCATGGACCCAGGATCATCAAAGCATCCTTCAAAACAAAGAAAGAGGACATAACAATGAACGTCATCCAATGTTATGCACCTACCAATGACTACTATGACGACGTTAAAGATCAATTCTACGAAAGGCTGCAGTCAATCGTCGAGAAATGTTCACCAAGGGATTTGACGATTCTTATGGGAGATCTGAATGCCAAGGTTGGAATGGACAACACTGGATATGAAGACATAAATGGGATGACATGGACTGGGAGAAAGGAACGAAAATGGTGAGAGATATGCAAACCTGTGTGCCTTCAACAAACTGGTCATCGGCGGCACAGTATTCCCGCACAAACACATACATACAACTTAACACAGAATTTATTCCATTGCGGTAAGTTGTTGAAGGGTGTTGTACAATTTGAGAAATTCATGAATCTAAGAATGCATATGGATAATAAATGTAATTTTAAAATTCACTTGTACTTTTCATTTTCAGATTACACAATAATCACATTCTCAAGCAGAAAATCAGCATGCAACTATCACTGATTCATATATTTATAACATGATCAAATAAGGCATTCAAGGTTCAATATCACATTTCATTATTTAATGAAACTGTAATGCATTAAAACGAAAATCGTGATGTTGATGACCATAACTTATTTGCAATTATGCTTCAATTTTATCATACAATTAAATCATATAAGTGGAGAGAAAAACGAATTAAAAAATCATCTACAACAAAATCAAACAATTTCCACATTTTTGAAATCATTGAATCAAAACTATGTAATTGATAAAAGCAATACATCAATAAATTATCATGTGAATCAAAACGAGACAAGATACAATAGTTCCTGCGCTGAAAACAAAGAGTTAGCGGAAAAAGATAACAAAATTTCACATTGCAATTACACGACACCAGAAAATGAAATAAATGTCATTAAATATTATGATAACGCAAAAAACAAAAGCGATTTAAAATCAACTCCAAATGTATCACAGATTGTAGCACAAACCTGTGACGAATGTTATGAAGATGAAGAAAACGTACGACGCAGATCCGACTATATTTAAACAGAAAATGACAATCAGTCGGAAAATCATCTGTATATGGAGAATGAGGATTACAACGCATACTATGAAGAAGATAGTAGAGACGAGCAGACTGAAAGTGATTGGAATTGGAAGAGTGGAACATTCAATGCAAACAATACAGACGAATACGTGGAAATGGAAGACGATGAACGCGAATATGTGGAAACAGAAGAAGAAGAAGAACAACAAGCAACAATCAATTCCACTGCAGTGACAACAACAAAACACAAACATCCCACCAAACGATACAAATCCACCATCACACGAACACCAATCATTAAAACGAAAACATTCAGAAAACCATCATCATCCACAGCAAAACGAGTTCCAGTAGTTGTCACTGCACGACCACCAACACCACAAGCACACTACAACCGCTCCATCAAACAATCCACATCGACCAACAATCGTAAACCATCCATTACAACTAAAAAACACCGTCAAACATCATCAACACGACAACCAGTTCACAATGTCACTGCACTGCCATCCTATGCAGTTCCAAATTATCAAACAGTAAATGACAATCAGTCGGAAATTCATCTGTATATGGAGAACGAGGATTACAACGCATACTATGAAGAAGATAGTAGAGACGAGCAGACTGAAAGTGATTGGAATTGGAAGAGTGGAACATTCAATGCAAACAATACAGACGAATACATGGAAATGGAAAACGATGAACGCGAATATGTGGAAACAGAAGAAGAAGAACAACAGGCAACAATCAATTCCACTGCAGTGACAACAACAAAACACAAACATCCCACCAAACGATACAAATCCACCATCACACGAACACCAATCATTAAAACGAAAAAAATTCAGAAAACCATCATCATCCACAGCAAAACGAGTTCCAGTAGTTGTCACTGCACGACCACCAACACCACAAGCACACTACAACCGCTCCATCAAACAATCCACATCGACCAACAATCGTAAACCATCCATTACAACTAAAAAACACCGTCAAACATCATCAACACGACAACCAGTTCATAATGTCACTGCACTGCCATCCTATGCAGTTCCAAATTATCATGTGCAACATCCAAAAAAATACAAGAATGTAAGTCACAAAAATACCATCAAATCTCGACAAACAACGCAAAACACCAGCAGCAAATTCAAATCAATTCCAAATGTATCACAGATTGTAGCACAAACCTGTGACGAATGTTATGAAGATGAAGAAAACGTTCGACGCAGATCCGAGTATATT